AAAAAAAAAAAAAAAAAGCTGCTGAAGTCTTTTCTATTTTAGAAAGGTGGTATGAATAAATTTTTCTGCATATTAACTACAATTTATGGTACTTTGTGAAATGTTTTCCCATTTTTAAATGCAAGAGTCTATCATATCTCTACTCACAAAGCAACAGGCACTGCTAGGGGTCGTAGGCTAAGATCTGCCACCCCAGCAGTCTGCACGGACCGTAAGCAGGTGTGGAGAGGACCAAGTTCACCTGTCAGCAGCACCACAGAATCCGACTCTCCAGCCTTTCTGCCATTAATTATCATAGATATGGCCTTTTCCCTGATATTCTATTCCCATTGGAGGCTTTTTATTAAGACCTTGTTCCTATAAAGAAAATTAAATGTTTGTTTTTAAAAAGATAAGAATCAAGACATATCAAGCTTCATCCTGGAAAATAGCCCAGAACCCCGCTGCTGGAATGCTGCTGAAATAGCCCTTACACCTTTAGGATCATAAGGTAAGCAAGCCTGTGACTATGTCATTAAAGAATGACGACCATCAGCCAAGTTACCACACCTCTGTAATATGTTCCCTGACTTGTGCAACCCATGAGCACGAGGCCTTGGAGTGGCTCTTCTCATCCCTTTCCCAAAAACCCAAGTATGTCCTTAAAGGACTATCCAAAGTGACCTCAGTTCTATTCAGCTGCTGGGCATAGAGAGATTATCAAAATAGTGCAAAAAGCAGGATATCCCAAAGCAGCAAAAATCACACATTCACACACTTCTTCCTGTGGGAGATGGTCTCGCTATATTTCCCAGGCTGAGAAATGACCTGATCCCTCCTTTCCATCTGGTCAGTTCTTCCCTTAAGGAATCTCTTCTTTGATATTTGTAATGCTATTCCAGGTGCTTATATGCCCACCATCCCTATAGACTGTAGACTACTTAGAGGTTTTTTGCTACTCAATATTTCTGTGTAGGAGATATACTCTGAATATAGTAATTACACAATGTTTGTTGTTGCCAGAATTCTGTGTCTCAGGGTAGAAGTATTAAACCCTGATACATAAATACTTTCTTTTTCCTGGGGATAAACTTGAGTAATAATTTTATTGAAACTCTCCACTGACAATTTGAACTTGAAATACATGGCTCTTTAAGATTAATGTGTATCTTATCTTGACTTTCTGCAGTTGAAAAATCAGGTACCCACTCTTAGTTTGTAGAAAAGTACCAGGTAATTACCTGTGAACACATTTGGGGCACAACATATTGTCTTCAAGGTGCGGGGGTGGAAAACTGGAGGCAGGAAGCAGGAAGAGCGCACTCACTCTCCCTTCTTGCTTTTCTGGAACCCAGGCTTGACCAGCATGAAACTGCAGGTGCACCCAACCGTCTGTGTCTGCAGGGAGACTTTTCCCATGGACCACACACCACCTGACACCTGGAGAAACAAAGACAGACAGATACCCACACACCAGGGTGACATACTCACCTCAGACTGCATTATGGCCCATCACCCTTGATTCCTTCTTAACTGCCAGCTCCAAGATATGAACCCTGAAATCCTAACTTAACCTCTACGCTATCCTGTTCTTTTAGAAAAGCATACAAGACAGTTCCTGTTAAAGTTTCATCTAGTTGGAAGCAGTATAGTCGTAGATGGACAGACGGTATTAAGACTAACCCAGTGTCTAGAAAGGGCTGCATGAAGTAAGCTCGGGGGTCTCAACTGTTAACACACATTGGACTGAGCTAAGCAGTTTACTATCAGATTTTTCTTGTATTTCCTGTAATTCTTACAACATATGAGGTAGGTATTACTAACTCATTTTACAATGAAAAAAAACTACAGGTGGCACCTGTAGTTCCGGCTAAATGGGAGGCTGAGGCTGGAGGATCGCTTGAGCCTAGGAGTTCTGGGCTGTAGTGTGCTATGCTGACTGGGTGTTCGCACGGGGACCACCAGGTTGCCTAAGGAGTGGTGAACCCGCTCAGGTCGGAAATGGAGCAGGTAAAAGCTCCCGTGCTGATCAGTAGTGGGATCTCGCCTGTGAATAGCCACTGTACTCCAGCCTGGGCAACATAGTGAGGCCCTATCTCTTTAAAAAAAAAAAAAAAGGAAAGGAAAGGAAAGGAAAAAAACTGGAAAATATTTAAATAACTTATTAATGCAATTCTGGGGTTCAGCAACAGGAATCCATTTTAGATCTTGTTTTTAATTTAAATTGCTTAAAGGGGGGAAAAAATCCCAGACTGTTATCCTCTTCTGATGCCATCAATAATTTAGAGCAGTGGTTCTCAAACTGTGGTCCCCAGACCAGCATCCTTAGTATTGCCCAGGAAATTGTTAGAACTCTCAGGTTCTGCCCTAGACCTAAAACAAGCTCTGTGAGCAGGGTCCAGGAATCAGCGACCCTTCATGGGTTTTTCATATACCCTAAAATGTATCAAGCATTAATATCTACTAAGCTCATTTCCCCACTGGACCAGAATAAGCTTTTCATGTTGGGCTTACCACTGGCTTCTTGTGGAGGTTCCACTGCCTCTGGCGTCCTTGCCCTGGCTGAAATTCTTGCCCAGGAGGCCAGCACAGCCTCTGGGGCAGAAGTTGTCACCACAACCGTATTAACTCCCTCAAGGAGAGGAGTGGACCCTTCCAGAGCAGGCAGCCCCTCCGCAGGGGGAAGGGGCACTTGAGGAGGCTGTGTCCCAGAACTCTGCAGGCTCGCTTTCCCTTTTTCCACCTTTAATTTATTTTGCAATGACTTCCGGATTTTGGCCTCTTTTGCTGTGCTAGGGAAATCCTACATAAAGGGTTAAATAATAAAGATAATAATAAAGGTTAAAGCTCTACCAAAAATGGCCTCAGGGTTAACGAGGTGTGGATCAAACACAAAGTTTCACTTAGGAGGACTAGGTTCAAGAGATCTATTGTACAACTTGGTGACTATAGATAGTTAATCTTGAAAATTGCTGTTAGGCTGGGTGCGGTGGCTCACGCTCGTAATCCCAGCACTTTGGGAGGCCTAGGCAGGCGGATCATGAGGTCAGCAGTTCAAGCCCAGCCTGGCCAGGATAGTGAAACCCTGTCTCTTTTTTGTTTGAGACGGAGTTTCGCTCTTGTTACCCAGGCTGGAGTGCAATGGCGCGATCTCCGCTCACCGCAACCTCCGCCTCCCGGGTTCAGGCAATTCTCCTGCCCCAGCCTCCTGAGTCGCTGGGATTATAGGCACGCTCCGCCACACCCCGCTAATATTTCTATTTGTTTTTAAAAGATGGGGTTTCACCATGTTGGCCAGGGTGGTCTAACTCCTAACCTCAGGCAATCCGCACACCTTGGCTTCCCAAAATTCTGGGATTATAGGCGTGTAATCCCAGTCTAATATTTGTATTTTTAGTAGAGACAGGGTTGCACCATGTTGACCAGACCAGGCTGCCTCATTTTTATCACTCTTTGCAGACTTGGTGAAAAGCAGGGCTGGGAAATACTGCTCGCTCTTAGAACTAGGGGTGAAGGGACAAGGGGAGGCTAAGGCAGTTCCTTCACTCACTTTTGAGGTTACAACAAGTAATTAGGATAAGCACTGAAAAGTCCATCCTTAAAAAAGTTACCTTTTGGTTTGGGTAAGCAAAGGCACACAGGCGCTTATACGCATCCAGTTTCTAAGACAATAGAAAACTGCATTAGTAAGACAAGTAAGGCTCCTGCCCCTTCCTCCCAGCGCACCGTCCCCAGCCTACGGCCTCACCTGGCCTCTGGTGCTCAGCTTTAATTGCTGACACCAGGCCCGTACGATGTCCCGGTGAATCAGATTAACAGGTGGCAGTTTAGAGGGTAAGGGAGGGATTGGTATCTTCTTCTGAGGTCTGGGGTTATCACAGTCTGCCTTCTTCTTAGGGCAAAGCACTGAAGGAGAACGGAATAAAGTTGGTAGTAATTAACTTGTAGCTTTTCAGAATTTCACAAGTAAAATCACTTTTAGTTATGAATAGTTCAATTCCTCTCAAACCTAGGACTTACCACTTCTAGATCCAGTTTTAATTGCTATATCTCCTCACTGCTCAGGTACACTTGCGCCTTTGTGAGCCCCTTAATCCACAGAATCCAGGTGGTGGCACCGGAGAGGGCACTTCTTGAGATCATAAATACTCAGTGGTGTTCTCTTTCCACAGAGCAAAATCAACACCTGGCAGTGCTACACAGGCAACCACTAATACCCCAAATTCTGCCAGCCCCCCCCCGGCAGGGCAGCACTCTGATCTCATTGCAGGCACGCCTCCTTAGCCCTCCTGTGTTTCTGTTCATCCAGCTTCTGCACCTCACATACACTGTCTTCATTCAGTAAAGATTTCTGGCCAGGCGCGATGGCTCACGCCTGTAATCCCAGCACTTTGGGGGGCCAAGGCAAACAGATCACTTGAGGCCAGGCATTTGCAACCAGTCTGGCCAGTATGGTGAAATCTCATTTCTACTAAAAATACAAGAATCAGCCAGGTGTGGTGGCACACGCCTGCAATCCCAGCTACTTGGGAGGCTGAGGCAGGAGTGTCACTTGAACTGGGATCATGTTGATAGAGTGACATCCTATCTCTGTGTCTCAAAAAGACTTTCAGAGTTCTCAGGTATTAAAAAAAAAAAAAAAAAAAAAAGGCTTCCAAAACACACCTCCAGGACAGACACAGCCTGCAATGACACTAGTAGTTACTAGGGTTTACTAGGTACATATCACTTCTCAGGCACAGTGTAAGCGCTTCACCTAATCATTCTATGTCAATTTTTACACTCCAACCCCACCCCTGAATAAAGGTAGGTATTGTCCTAACTTACTTTTAGGATAGTAAGTTCGGTTTCAAGAATGAGTTTCAAACTTATAGTTGTCTGTTCCCAGATCATTGCACATGGAAATCCTTAACTCCCAGTAGCAAGTGAAGGAAAAAATGATCAACAGAACCAAATATGCTGTGGAAGTCTGAAGACAGGAAGGGGTCAGTGAGACCAAAAGTGACCGAAAGATGCTTCAGGGAGGTGCAGTTTCAGGTAGGCTTCCAAGAAGTTTAATTTGCACAATAGATGGTGGAAATTTCTTCCCTGGTTTTTCCTTTTCCTTCAGAAAAATTCTTCAGGCTTCTAAGACCCGAGAAAGTGGGATTTGAGGATTTGTAGACCTCTTACCTTTGTCACCTTTAATAGATACTTTTCCTTTGGTTCCCCCCTTCGCTGATGTTCCCGGCAAAGCAATCGTGTTTGGTTGATTAGAAGCCTGCTGATCCTCTTCCCTCGCCTTCTCTGTGGAGGTCCACTGGGGAACAGAGGAGCTGATCAGTCATTCCTCTAGTGTCCAAACCACACATACACTACCTGCCTCAAGATAACTCACTTCTAAGGCACCAAGACAGCCCTGCACTCCACTGGCAGTGTGGATTCTCCTCTGGGTATCCTCTGAATACTCAGTTTCATTTATAAGACTGGGAAGCAGTGATGGAAAAAATGGGAAGAAGCCAGTCTGAAAGCACATGAAAACACAGATACAAACAAGAGTAGAAGGAAACAGGATCTGCCTTGGGAGAAGAAGTGCTTAGGTAGGCCAGGAGTGATGGCCTGTAATCCCAGTGTTTTAGGAGGCCAGGGCAGGAGGAACGCTTGAGTCCAGTAATTGGAGACCAGCCTAAGCAGCAAAGTGAAACCCTGCCTCTACAAAAAGGAAACAATATTAGCTGAGCATGGTGGTGCGTGCCTGTAGTTCCAGCTATTCAAGTGGGAGGATTCCTTGAGCCAGGAAGGTAGGTAGAGGTTGTAGTAAGGTGAGGCTGCACCACTGCACTCCAGCCTGGGTGACAGAATGAGACTCTGTCTTAGAAAAAAAACAAAAAACATTAGATAACATTGAAAGGTCAAATTGTGCAAAAAAAAAAAAAAAAAAGAGAGAGAGAGAGAGAGAAACACAAAAAGCCCTTCCCTCACCTGGAATACTTTTTTTTTCTCCCAGTCCTTAATTCTTGACCCCTTCCATATAAATTTCTAACACTGTTGGCAGAGTGACACTACGAAAACTTTACATCCTTTCAGCGGTTTATCGCTCTTAGAATAAAAATAGTTGTCTTTGGCTGGACGCAGTGGCTAATGCCTGTAATCCCAGCACTCTGGTCGGCCGAGGGGGGTGGATCACAAGGTTAGACCTTCGAGACCAGCCTGACCAACATGGTGGAACCCCATTGCTACTAAAAATACAAAAATTAGCCTGGCGTGGTGGCAGGCACCTGTAATCCCAGCTACTCAGGAGGCTGAGGCAGGAGAATTACTTGAACCCAGAGGCAGAGGGTGCAGTGAGCCGAGATCAGCCACTGCACTCCAGCGTGGGTGACAGAAGGAAACTCCTCTCATTAAAAAAAAAAAAAAAAAAAAAAAAAAACAAACATGTTTAGGCCGGGTGCGGTGGCTTAAAGTTGTAATCCCAGCACTTTGGGAGTCCGAAGGGGGCAGATCACGAGGTCAGGAGTTCCAAACCAGCCTGACCAACAAGGTAAAACCGCGTCTCTACCAAAAATACAAAAAACTAGTCGGGTGGTCTAAGTTAAAACTAGTCGGTAATCCTAGCTACTAAGGAGGCTGAGGCAGGAGAATTGTTTGAACCCGGGAGGCGACGGTTGCAGTCAGCCGAGATCACGCCATTGCACTCTAGCCTGGAAGACAGAGTGAAGACTCCGTCTCTAAAATAAAAAAAAATGTAATCTAAAACTTCCCCTAAATCTAAATCTTTTTCTTCGCTTTCAGGGTGGATTACTGCACAAATTAACATTTGTGTGGCATTTTTACATCTCTATAGCAGGTCTACATTTGGATTTGAAATTTACATTTGCATAACCCTTACAAGAAGTACGCACTTTGGACCTCACAAAGACTTAAAACTGAGAGAATTAAAAATGACCCGGTTCAAGTAAAGAGGCTCAAATATGGCCTTTCGGCGCCTGTGCAACACGTCTCAAAGTTTCTGTCTGCCCGGCTGCTAATGTGGCTCCGGTTACTCCTAAGTCGTAAGCGCACTGGGAAAAGGAAAATTCATACCCAGCACCTTCGGTTTAGGATCTGTGTCCATCTAAAGGAAATTAACGAGTTTCACTCTTTTCCAACCTCAGCTCAATGACTCCTCCTAAAATCTTCCCTCACCACCGTTTTTCTCCTGTAACCATTTCCCTCTAGCCCCGATATTCAGTTAATTCTTCTGACAGGACAAAGCATTTCTTCAAAACAGAAAACCCGGGCCGGGAGCAGCGGCGTGTGCCCAAAAGCACTTTGGATCCAGGCCGAGGCGGAAAGACTGCTTGAGCCTGGGAGGTCAAGGTTGCAGTGAGCAGTGATGGCAGCACTGCACTCCAGCCTGGGAGACAAAGTGAGGCCCTGTTCCAAAAACAAAAACCTAATTTCTTTCTTTTCCCCTATCTTTTGACACCCTCAACCTCCTCAGCTGAACCTAGACAACCTCATTTCCTACTCCAATATACCAGGTTGCAATCACGTTCTTGGGGTTTACTCTAAAATAGAGTCAAGAGAAGAAAATTCGAAGGTACACTGTTTTCTCCTTAAAAGAAAAATCGGGGCCGGGCGCGGTGGCTCAGGCCTGTAATCTCAAGCACTTGGGAAGGCCAAGGCAGATCACCTGAAGTCAAAGAGTTTGAGACCAGCCTGACCAACATGGTGAAACCCCATCTCTACTAAAAATACAAAAATTAGCTGGGCGTGGTAGCGGGCGCCTGTAATCCCAGCTACTCAGGAGGCTGAGGCAGGAGAATGGCTTGAACCCGGGAGGCGGAGGTTGCAGGGAGCCGAGATCGCGCCACTGCACTCCAGTCTGGGCAGCGGAGTGAGGCTCCATCTCAAAAATCAGCATCATCATCATCATCATCATCAGGAGTGCTCAGGGAAGACAGAAACACGAGGAGACAAAGACAGACAGAAAACAAATTCACTAAAACTGTACTGACCTCCTTGCCTTTTACCTTCTCCATATTCGGACAGGAAGCGGAGCTTGGCGAGATGCTTCCAAAATGGCCCCTGACCCAAGATTGTTGTTTGCAAAGTCTCCTCCCACTTCCTGCCTCTCAAAGACCCTTTTTCTCCCCACCTCTTCTTTTCTTCTCCCCTTCTGTTCCCTCCCCCACAATTTGTAAATGCTAAAATTGTATCCTTTCTTATTCAGGAGGTGACTTTTGTATGGGTTGAATTACTAATACCATTCCTCGCCCTTTTCTGTGCACTTTTAATGTAATTATCCAAAGTATGGTTCCGGAGACCTGGGAGGTTGAAGACTCCTTCAGAACAATTCCATGGGGGGGGTGGAGGCGTGGGGGTGGGGGGGAGGAACAGTTGCCAGAGACTTGAGCAGGATGTGGGAAGGGATTTAGTAATGAAACGTGGAAACAGCAGACTTCAGGGACCAGACTGATGGCTTGAAGAAAGCTAAACTATTTTCTCCTACCAAATACATTACATTTCCTAAGCAAGTTACTCAACCAACTAAAACTCCAGGTTTCTCTCTGTACTAATACCCAGCATCTTTTTCATCTGCCAACGATCTCGTAATCATAGCTTTTAAAGTCTACAGAGTAGGTCGGGCGTGGTGACTCAAGCCTGTAATCCCAGCACTTTGGGAGGCCCAGGTGGGCGGATCACAAGGTGAAGAGATCGAGACCAATTTGGCCAACATGGTGAAACCCCATCTCTACTAAAAATACAAAAATTAGGAGGGAACAGCTCTTCTTTTAGAGGCATGAAGCCATGCTGAATTGGAAGATGCACACGTGAGCCTGGAGAGAGGATTTTTTTCCCAGGCCCCAATCCCGTCAGAGGTGTTCAAGTAATGAAAGTTGGCAAACTGCAGTTACATCAAGGCATGTTTCCCCAAGCGATGAAGAATCTGAGACTGGCTTTTGATATTATGAGAGTGACTCATGGCAGAGAACACAGCCTGATTGAAGATTTGATTCTGCTCTTAGAAGAATGTGACGCCAACATCAGAGCATCCTAAGGGAACCCGTCAGAGGGAAAGATGGCTTGTGTCTTTGTTGAATGCCTTATTGAGGTCGCACACTTTGTATTTTGTTTGCTGTGTGAACCTCTCCTATTGAAAATTCTCTTCTGTGTTTGTGTAGGTAAATAAAGGCAGACATGATTTGCAAACCACAAGAATCATTAGTTGTAGAGAAGCATGATTATAATAAATTCAAAAAATTTGGAAAAAAAATAATTAGCTGGGCGTGGTGGCGCGCTTCGGCAATCTCAGCTAGTGAAGACGCTGAGGCAGGAGAATCGCTTGAACCCAGGAGGCGGAGGTTGCAGTGAGCCGAGATCTTCCCGTTGCCCTCCAGCCTGGCAACAGAGGGAGACTCCGTAAAAAAAAAAAAAAAAAAAGTATATAGAGTATGTTATTTATTTATTGTGTGTGTGTTGGGAGTGAGGGGTCCTCTCTACTTTGACCAGGCTGGTCTCGAACTCCTTGCCTCCAGTGATTCTCCAGCCTTCTCCTCCCAAAGTGTTGGCATTACAGGCGTGAGCCACCACTCGAAGCCCAAGTATTCTTTATATCAAATTCTGAGTCTAAAACTCAGTCATGCCAGGCATGGTGGCTCATGCCTGTAATCCCAGCACTTTGGGAGATTGAGGTGGGCGGATCACCTGAAGTCGGGAGTTCGAGACCAGCCTGGCTAACATGGTGAAAACCCATCTCTACTAAAAATACAAAAATTAGCCGGGCATGGTGGTGGGTGCCCATAATCCCAGCTACTACAGGGGCTGAGGTAGGATCCCTTGAAACTGGGCGGAGGTTGCAGTGAGCCGAGATCACGCCACTGGACTCCAGCCTGGGCAACAGAGTGAGACTGTCTCAAAAAAAATAAAATAAAATAACTCAGTCATTATTGTCCCCCATTTTATATATGACAGAAGTTTGTATAAAATTTTATTGGTAACTTTTCCTATCATAGCGCAGTAAGTGAACTCCTAACCTACTGACTCCCAAAGACGTTCAAGTTTTTCTCCTTAAAATAATTTAAAAAATCCTTCCACAGATCACTGCTCCCTGTCAGGTTGTCAAGAGATGTGAAGAGAAGGAAGCAGCGACTGTAGGACCGAAACCCTCCCTTGTCAGTGTCCAAAGTCTCCTATTTTCTTTGGTTGATTTTTTTTTTTTTCCTACATCTCATTGTTTGTCCTAAAATGATAAATAAGAGATGATCTTTATCCAAATGGTATTTGTAATCTGATCACAGGCTAGAAATACACAGACAGAGGAAGTAAGTAAACGGAGCCAGGAATAGAGAAGGAAGTGACCGTTGTGGACTGGGCAGCCCCCAAGGCTGCAAAGAGAAAACCAGGTGAGTTGAGGTCATCTGGGAGATCATATTAGGGCTTTGATTGAACAATTCTTTACCACAGCCTTTGATAACAACCAGTAGGACTTGCTAGCTCAGGTTTGTGTATAATTGAATCATCTTTCTTTTCTCAGTGTAATAGAATGTAACATTCAGAATAATTGGGAGTTCTGGGCTGGGCGTTGTGGCTCACTCCTGTATTCCCAGCACTTCCGGAGGCCGAGGTGGGTGGATCACTTGAATTCAGGAGTTTGAGACCAGCTGGAGGACAGTGCAAAACCCCATCTCTACTAAAAAAGATTAGCCGGGCTTGGTGCCACCTGCCTGTAATCCCAACTACTGAGGAGGCTGAGGCAGGAGAATCGCTTGAGCCTAAGAGGTGGAGGTTGCAGTGAGTTGAGATGGCACCACTGCACTCCAGCCCGGGTGACAAAGTGACACTCCATCTCAAAACCAACACACAAGCAGAATAATTGGAGTTCTGAATTAAACATGAAGTGAGGCATTGAAACATCGAATTCTGGGCAAGGTACAAACTAATTTGTATATGAACAGTTACAGTGTATTTTGGGATTAATCATTTATAAATCCTTGGATCCACTACTATTTCTGGGAACACAATTCTAAAAGAATTGCACTAATCATTTAAAACATGTGGGTTAGCTGACATCCTATACGTAAAACGGATTAGTACAATTTAATTTAAAATGTTGAGAAATAACTGGAAATAATATTACTGAGTTCTAGAACTAGCAAAAAGCCATCTGGCCGGGCGCGGTGGCTCAAGCCTGTAATCCCAGCACTTTGGGAGGCCGAGGCGGGTGGATCACGAGATCAAGAGATCGAGACCATCCTGGTCAACATGGTGAAACCCCGT